CAAGGACAGAAGCATTTCCTCAGCCCACAGCCTGAGCCTGGGAAAGCGAAGAGGATGAGACTGTCCTAAGGAATTCGTAGTATTTAGTTGCAGGCTTTGGGAGTTAGAGTTAGTCTGGTGAGATTCTGCCTAGCAGGTGCAAGCTAATAAAGTAACGGAGCTGTTCCAGTGCTGTCTCGTGGAGTTTCTTGGGCTGAACCTGACAGTCCGTGGGAATGACCCTGGGAGACAGGAGGAAGACCCGCAGCCTAGATTATGGTCAGAGAAGAGGCAGCTGAGCCCGCAAGTGGGGGAAAAGCACGGGAAGCTTTTCAGAAGGGACCCTCCCTAGTTTTCTGGAGATTAAAAGGAGAGGAGGGGAGAAACACTTTCCGTCTTGCAAGATTCAGTTTAATGTACGTCTTCTCTGGACTACCTTGAAGGGCTAACCGAACAGACCTCGCATGCTATTATTGCAAATCGGCACTGGTGTGATTACAGATCCCAAGGGGGAATTCCCACCTCCCAAGTTCTTGAAAATTCGCTGAGCCTGATCTGGCGGGAGGTGCTGTGAGCTTTACAACATCTCGCCCCCATTTTCACCACTGCTCCCTCTGCTCACCTTGGATGTGTCAGCCTCCGTGCAAAGTAAGGACGGGCACTCGCACTGGGGAAGGCCGTTCACTTCCACACACGACGCCCCGAATTCACAGGTCATTTCAGCGCAGGACGAGGGTGCTGAGAGATCTGGGGAGCATGGATGACATTCAGTGGGAAAACAAGGATACCCAGCTTCCAACTTCGTCCTCCCAGGAATAAATCTTCCTTTGGGTCCAGCAGAGAGGCGTTAACCTTTAACCCACAAAGCTGTTGCATCTGAATGCCCAACCATTCCTCGCCCAGCTTACCTTTCTCACAGCCGGACATTCCCAATTTGCTTCCGCTGGGACATTGCCTGCATTTGGTGCCAGTGATCCCAGTTTTACATGAACACAAGCCGGTCATCTGTTCACAGTCATCACGCACCGAGCCCACAGGGTCGCAGTGGCAGGCTATTCAGGGAAGAAACGGTTTGGGAAGAAACAAGCTGGTTTTAGAACTCCTTCCCCCATTCGGAGCATCCTTCAGAGGTGCGGGCTCCAAACTCCCAGAATTCTCAAGGATGGGCAGGCAGGCTGGGGAATTCTGGGAGTTGACCTCCATGCAGAAATCTGTGGGGAATGCTAGGAGCTGAAGTACGCACATCTGGCAAGGACCTGTGCTGGATAAGGCTGGTTTATAAGAAAGAAGGACGGCTCTTTTTTCAGTGAACCAGAAGGTCCTTTTTATTCAAATAATCTGATTTCTTTGTGGATATGACGAGTAAAACCTCGAAATAGCTGCCCTATGCCGGCCCACAGACTTTGCACAACTTCGTCTACACCGATTCATTATCCAAAGTCCCTTAGCCATTCCTTTTGTCCTAGAGACAGGGACTTTTCTGTCATGGGTACATATCTTTGGGGGGAAAAACCCTTCCCCAGGAAGTCTATACGGCCCCCTTTTCCCTGGCCATTCACTGGAAGAATGTACAAGAAATTCCAGGCCAGATGTAGTTCATTTTAGTGTGCTGGGGAATGTTTTTAGCCTACCACTAGCTTATCTCTGTTACTTACTGATTTTATTATTTGTGTTTTAAATGCATGTGTTTTGATTATGCATTTTTAGTGGTTATCCACTTCAGGGGTGTGTGTGTGTGGGGGGGGTGCTCGTCTGAAAAGCAGACCATAAATCTATGAAATTAAACGAGACTTCTATTACTGTCTGTCTGTTCCTTCACTAACTGGAGACTGAGCATAATACCTCCTTGCATTTAAAGCAGGCTGCTGGGCTAAGCCGGTAAAGCCAACTGTAGCTCAAGCAGGACTCCAACGCGGCCTGGATGTTTCACACCTCTGGTACGGCTAACCAGAGTATGGGTTCCCATCATGGAACAGCGCAAACAAAATGGTGTGTAGATGTGATGGAATGGACTTATGAAGGCCAGGCTCAGGGAGATAAGCGTGTTCTTGGTTCACCGCAAGAGCGTGGGAAGTTCAAGAGGATGAGGCTGGCACCTCCCTGAGGAATTC